ACTTAACCTTAATGCAATGAGAGCAACATGCGTTTTGACGTAATACATGACTACAGATTTGCAATCAATTCACAGGCAATTTATCGCTGACAACTGATTCACCGTGTACCTGAGTCTGCCCATTTTTTAGAAAAGCACAAAATCCCGGAAACGTCAAAAATGGCAGTAATTTAGTAAGTTTCGTTTTTAGACGTAAAGAGTGTCTTCTTATCCATCAAAACGGAGTAACTATCAATGTACAAATAACATAACGATCAAACATAGTGTTTTTTTCTGTGAAGTCCGCATCTAAGTATCGTGTAATGAGTTAGTGTAATCTCATGTATGACGGTTTGTCAACAGCCTTCAGTCGGAGTATAGATTCGAAAACAGTTTGCGGAGATTTCGCGGTATTTTTGACTTACTTGGGCTGATTGAGATGCGGTTCAACAGGAGAAACTAGATTTTGCTTGGCTTCGCTGATGGGGACGTCTTAAGAACAGAAATTTACATAACGTCTCATGTTGCCAGGCCAATCGGTGATCGGCGTAATCTTAAACATATTACAGTACGTGACCTATCTCAGGAAATCTGAAAATGGAAACTGATGAGGGAATTTCTGGACGCCTTTAACGTTGAGCATTTTGTTCGCTCTTCCACTTCCTTCAACAAAATGTCCTTTTCTTGTGCAGAAATTGTGTTTACGTAATTATATTAAGTAAAATATCTGTAAATGTTAGCGAAAATGGACGTTGGATGATATTTGTGTAATTTCCTATACTAATACGTGTCTTAGACTCCGGTTACGCATCTGAGCGGCTTTTTCATTGAAAGGATATTAATTTATTAGAAGAAGAAAATTGGCTCTCCGGAACAGGTTTATTTAACTGCTGACGTTTCAAAGAGCTGGGTCGGCTCTTCATTGTCAAAGCGTAAACTGCACCTAATCGATCAGGAATTTAGTTTAAAGTGGCAAGTTGTGTTGGCCGGCCTCATGCTGATCGATTTTTTTCTCTCCTCCCGCTGCGTCGGCCTCTCAGGAGATGGCTGACGGGCGATGTTTTTGGACTCACTGGTCCGTGTTCTTGGCGAGCGCAACTTCTTAAAGCAAACCAGCACCTCTCAAAGGTTGTCGAAATTATAGTTGATATCACTAAACAGTGTGGTCAAAGGTGTTCCGGCAGATTTCATGAAACCCACTGAAACCCATTAAAACCCACTGACGCCGCCACGGCTCGTTTTTACGGTCTACCGAAGGTACACAAGGCAAATGTCCCACTCAGGCCAATCGTATCCCTTCGTGGCACTCCGACGTACGGTTTGGCAAAATGGATGTTCGGTCGTCTTAAGTTTTTGGCCGAAGGCTCACCAACAACAGTTGCATCTGCGTATCAATTCCTCGAACGCATAAAGCATCCGAGGTTAGAGCCAGACGAATCCATGGTATCCTTTGATGTCGTTTCGCTCTTCACCTCCATCCCACAGCAACTAGCGATAGATGTTGTGGACCAACTACTGGCAGAGCGTTATGAGGAGAGAGACAGGCCTCTGAAGTCTGAGCATCTGCTCGAGCTTCTGCGATACTGTCTCAAGACCTATTTCACTTTCGACGGACAAATGTACGAACAAATAAAGGGCACTCCTATGGGCTCCCCTATATCAGGCCTAATTGCTGAAGTAGTACTTCAACGGGTAGAACACTTGGTGTTCACCAAATATCAACCAAATTTCTGGGCCCGCTATGTCGATGACACCTTCGTCGTTGTCAAAACAACTGACATTGAACACCTAAAGGGACTACTGAACTCGGTTGACCCTGATATACAATTTACGATGGAAGCGGAAACAAACAACCAACTGCCCTTCCTTGACGTACTTGTGCCCCGGTGTACCACTGGACAGCTGCAAACTACAGTATTCCGAAAATCCACTGACACGAGACAGATCCTACACTTCAACAGTAACCATCCACTGTCTCACAAACGTAGTTGTGTCCGCACTCTATTCCAAAGAGTCGAAACACACTGCAGCACACCAGAAGATAAAAGGGCCGAACGATTGTACCTTGTGGACCTATTTGCAGCCAATGGTTATCCCAGGCATTTCATCGAGAGAAGCAGACGTTGGGCGCCCAGACAACGGCCAAATGAGCAGCAACCCGAAGTCTGGAGGGCCATTCCTTACGTTAAAGGGGTCTCTGAAGCGGTCTCACGACTGTTACAACCCACCAGAGTAGGCATAGCCCATCGACCACAAGCAACAATTCGTCGTCGCCTGATGCAACCTAAAGACCCATTGCCACTCGCTGAAACCTCAGCAGTCATCTACAAAATAAATTGCAATGAGGGAGAGCCAATTTTCTTCTTCTAATAATCTTCCCGGATCTCTAAACTTTTCCAATCTGAACGGATATTAATTTGCCCATGAGAGTTTTGATAAACAGGTTTAGCCGGACTATACATTTTATTTTAAATTCGATGATAGCCATGTTGATCCACCTGCAAACACAAAGGTTCAACTACGCTATTGACTGGATCCTCGGGAGGGCCCTACGCGACAGTGACGGCGTTGAATTTGCACCCGGACATCGACTGACTGATCTCGACTATGCCGATGATATCGCCTTACTTGCGTCAAGTTTTGGTCATCTGCAGTCTATGGTGTCACGGGTGAACGAGGTCGCTAAATCAGTCGGTTTGTCCATAAACGCTGGGAAGACCAAAGTATTCTCAAGCTGCATCCCTGACCAGGAGAAGGCACCCCTGGGGATTTATGGCTGTCAACTTGAAGAAGTGGACAGTTTTAAATACCTCGGGGCGCGGCTGCTGCCTAATGGACAGAGTAAGGACGACATTGTCTCCCAAATCGATGCTGCCCGCTGGGTTTTTTCAAGCCTTCGGAAATGCCTGTGGAACCGACGTGACCTCTCCATCGCCATTAAGATTCGCGTGTACCGTGCATCTGTCCGGTCTGTCCTTCTCTACGGTTGCGAATGCTGGGCTTTGCGCGTGGCGGATGAGCGAAAACTGGAGGTATTTGACCATCACTGCTTGAGGATCATCCTTCGAGTGAAGTTAACCGACTTCGTCTCAAATGAGATAGTCCTCGCTCGCTGCGACATCGCGAGGATAACTCAGGCCATCCAAGAAAGACGACTGAGGTGGTTCGGGCATGTTCTTCGTCGTCCACCTCAGGAGCTCAGTGTTACTGCCCTCGATCCGGCACCGTTGCCCCATTGGAGGCGTCGAAGAGGGGGTCAGTTCAAAACCTGGCTCGACACTGTCCGTCAAGACATGGAGGTAGTTATTGGACCTTCGGTATTCGGTCTCCGTCGTTGGCGAAGGGAATGGGTTGAGCTGTCCAGATCTGCTGCCGCGGATCGTCACGCGTGGAGAGGTACAATTCGGGACATCATCGAGGCCGGCTAGATCAGGCATGATCGCAGCCGTATCAAGTACAAGTACAAGTAAGTTGACACACCGTCATATATTAAATCACACTACTCATTAAACGATATTTAGATGTAAACTTCACTAAAACACTGTTATTAGACGTTATTTTATGTCTACTTTCATATTTACTACGTTTTTTGTATGATAATACGTTCTGTACATCTAAAAACGACGTTTACTAAATTAGAGCCATTTCTGACGTTTTCGGGATATTGCGCTTTTCAAAATAAATCGGAATTTCTAAGTAACGCCACACTGTCTTTAACAATTCTGTTGTGTTTTTAATGCTTTTAAACTTGTAGTTAATTAACATAGAAATCGGACTCGTGACATGGTGTCGGTTTGCGAGTGATTAGCAATCATTCGTAAATTTCGACACATTTCATGCGTTAGGTCACTAACTGTATTTTTTGGTAGGGGGCGCTCACCGATCGTTCTTACGGAACTCACTCGTTCCGTCGTGCCTTACGGGCTCTCTCTCGAACCCAACCAGCAGCCGCACAGCGGCGCATGATATAGGCAGTATGTTATTACCGACAAAGACAAGGGAGACTGAAATGGCCATTTCTGGCGTATTAGCTGTCGTTAGCCAGTCATAACCAAGGGCCGAACCGCTCGTAGCTGTGTCACGCAGAAGCAGAGTATCGGCGAAACACATTTCTGGGCTTTTAGTTGTTACACGTGTCCGGAGTACGGTATGGTATCTTTAATGCATACATTTCATACTACTTGTGGTAGTACTCGTTTGTTGAATTGGCATTACGTGGTTATTCTACATTAGTCGATTGTCTTCGACTCTTGGGTTCGTGGCCGAGTGGTTAGAGGCGTGTACATCTAACCAACAGGTCGCGAGTTCGAGCCTCGCGTGTTCCACGCTTCGGGATTGGGTATGACTGAGTGACGACGGCTAATAAGCCAGAAATTGCCATTCCAGTCTTCCCTGTCTTTGTCTGTAATAACATACAGCCTATATTATTTTGTGTTTATAAATAGAACTTTTTCTTGCGTTAAATTAACGTGTAATTTTAATTTGAAACATTTTTTCCCCGGTATGAATTGAAAACAAGCATGTACAACAGAATTTATTGGGGCCAATAAATTTCGTGACGGCTTTTCAACTGCAACCCGATGGCTTTGAAAGTGCGCCATCGGCGGTTTCTAGCCCACGTAGCCCTGACCAATAAAAATAACTCGGAGGCTCTCACCTACGCATTGCACCACATAACTGTGCCGACTATCGCCCAATCGAATCCGCACTTTGAAATCGGCCAATCAGGACCCGAAGGTCATGAGTGCGTGCGGGCGGGTTCAAAGTGTGCTGGCACTATAAGAGGCAGTGCTAATGGCACCCGCGATCATTCGTCGCTCCTGTTCCGGTTATCACTCGCAATGGCACTCGCAGACGTCGAAGTATTCAAAGACGCATTTCCCCTGGTTCGTAGCTGTCCAGCCCTCAACGAGATTCGCACTTCGGGAGAATTGAAAGAGCTCGTCATAGAGGTAGCTCTCCTTTCTGTAATCGTTCTTTACACGGAAATTTGTTCATGCTTGTTAGGTGAAGCACGGCGCTATTCTCAATGCCCATCGAATAATACAAGCGGCTCGAATCCCATCACTGCGAGCTGCTCTCAGCGGCGCCCCAGGGAAGGATAATTCGGTGCTCAAATGGCCGACGGTGCCTCTGAAGTAAAGTCATCCTCCTTTCTCTGATTTTGCTTTTGCACTTTCTAGCCTCGCAAATTCACTCCTCCAGTATGTGTACACCGGGCAGTTGGAGGTGACCCAAGCGAATGCGATGGCCATAGTGATGTTTGCCAAAATGATGAGACTGTCTAATCTGGAGAATTGGGGAGTGCAATTCATGACCAATAGGTAAGCAAGTGCCGGTTCTTTCTGTCTAACCGTCGGCTGTAAAGAGTGAATTTAGAAAATCTGGCAACCACGTGGGACTTTGCCAAATCTATGCGCATGGGCTCACTGATGGAGACTTGCATCAATCTGATGCAAGCGCAGTTTACGAATGTCGTCTCTACTGACCTCTTTATTCGTCTGCCAGCTGACACCGTGCTGACGTTGTTGCGAAACGACAATCTGTCAGTTGACTCCGAGGAGGCAGTTTTTGAGGCGATTTCAAGCTGGGTGGCTGCTGCCGGCGATAAAGAGTGCGATAATGAGAGACTGAGATTGCACGCCCCGGAGATGTTGAAGGAGGTTCGTTGGTGTCAGACGACTGAACATTTCCGTGGACGCTTGCTGAACGGTCACCCAATATTTCAGAATAGCCCCGAGTGTGCGTAAGTGTATGTTTCGTTATAATTCATCGTTTTTATATGGAAGACTGCTTTTGGGTGGCGTCGTGCACTGGATTGCCGCTGCAGACAAGCCTCCGTGTCCCTTCAACCGACGTCGGAGACCGCCTCAGACGATCTTCTTCGTATTTGGAAAGGACAAAAATCAGGACAGGTGGTCTGTCCTGCGTTTCGATCAGCAGCTGGAAAAGGAAGAGAGGATTGCTGACATGGAGAAGCGAGAACTGGCCTCCTACAGTGTCGTTGGCGGTGAGTTGCCTGACAGTTACGCACCGCCTCTTCTGCGCACCTGCCTTGTTTTCATTTTTTGTCTAATTTGACCACTTGGTGTCTCTTTTTGCCAGAATTATAACAAACACACAGACTCCTGCCAGTGCAGCTGCCATCGCCACACAATGCATAGGATTGCAGTAGTAGTAATTGAGGGGTTTTGAGGTCTTGGAGTCGTCCATTCGCCTGGCCTGTCCCGACGCGTTTGCTGTTTTTCGTCTTCAATTTACCCAACCGTGTCTCCATCTGGCTGGTTTGTGTCCGTCACTGGCGGCCACTCAACTGGGAAATTTGTCCATCAACGTCTTTTTCACCGACGTTGATATTTCCCCTCTTTCTGTCAACTGCACGCTTTTTTTATTTTATCTTTTCACTTTAACTTTCTTCCGCTCAATTTTACGAAACTGTTTTCTATCCCACCTCACCCCCACGGAAGAGAGCATTTTCGTGGTTGGAGGAGACAGTGCGCAAGGGAGCTTCTCCACGAGTGTCGAGGAGTTTCTGGTGGCAGAACGGCGCTGGCGCAAACGGGCGTCCCTCGCCGTTGGACGCCGCTGGCACGCAGCTGCAGTCCTGACGGAAGCCGGAGGGGAGGCGCTTCTCGGCGTTTTCGGTGGATGGGGTAACGGTGCATGCCTTTCCTCTTGTGAAGTCTATGAATTCAGTCGGGACAGGTGAGAGCACACTCGTCCTGGCGCCTCCTTCTTTTTTCTTGCAAAATCTTCCTGTTTTGCCTTCTCAATCGTCGTCTCCTCCTCCTCCCCAACACACACAGGTGGTTCAAACTGCCCGATCTGCGAGAGAAGAGGAGCTCCACAGCTGCTGCCTGCCTGCCCGGCGACAGTCGAATCTTCGTTTTTGGCGGCTGGAATGGCTCCATCACCGGGCTGGCTTCTGTGCAGTTCTGCCACCTGCGAGCAGACTGGCGAGAGAGGGCGACCTCGTCGGACTTTTGGCAGCCAGCCGCACCCATGAGAATTGCACCAAACGGGGTGGCAGCGACGCACTTTCGGGGGAAAATCATTGTCGCCGGGGGAAATAGTGCGGTAAACAGATTAAACGTGGTGCAGATGTTCACACCACCAGATGCCAGGTGTCCCCAGGGCCAGTGGACACAGTTGGCCGGCATGAAGGAAGCCCGCGCGTATTTCGCTCTTCTCACCTCCAACGACGACGCCATCTTTGCTCTCGGTAATGATGCCTCCTCCTTCTTTGCTCTACACTGACTGCATTCCTTCTCCACTTTCTCCTCTCTCTTTCCTGCCATTCCATGGCCTTTTCTGCGTAATTCCTTTTTATGAGGAAGATTAAGACATCCCTAGTGATGGCAACCAGGTGAAAATGTGACTTTGTATGGCGTTTCGTAAACACAACGAGGTTAGGGCCGATGGTAGTCCGTTTGTAGTGCAAATCGCCTGCTTCTAAAAATAGATTTTTACGAGAATTATGCAGCCGAATGGTTAAAGCGTCTTCAGTAGATACTGCGTTCAAAGCTTACTCAGTCTACTCTGCGTTTTATTAAAATAATTTTTTGTCTAGCGGTATTGTGCAAATCGTATGTTAATTTTGTCTATTTTGATATTTATGAAAGTAGAATTTTACTGGAATTATTCACAATTTGCAGGCCCAAGTAACACGGTGGAGACTTTCACAGCACCAGGCGGGCCAGCTGATGTCAGCAACGACTTGACAGCTTGGAGCTGGTCGTCGAAGAAACCACTGGAGACGCTCGGAGACATCGAAGGAGCTGCAAGCATCCGCATGTAAACTTCTGCGTTTCTTGATGTTCCTTCTATGACCCGCATGTTGAGAAATAAACGACTTGCAAAGTAACCCGTTTTGTCGTTTTTTTTGAAAACGTCAAAAGGGTGTGCAGTGCCCAACACCTAAGGCGACCGATTATTAATGGCGTGTTTATCTCTGAAGGGAATGAAATGCATGAACCAGTTATTTTTTACGAGGGAGATGCTCGTTTTCGGGATTAATGCTTGATTATGGAGAGAAATCATTGTCGCCAGCGGGTATGATACTGGAGACGAATTAGATTTAGTGGTGGAGATGTTCTTACTGCCAGGTGTCCCTAGCGGGTTTAATAAACATGGCCTCCAATTTTTTTGTTAAAAAAAAAACACCAAAAGGGTGTAAAGTGTCCAACACTTGGGGTGAAAAATAATCTCTAGCATATCTCTGCGAGGAATGAGAGATGTGGTCGAGGTTAGTTTAGCAAAGAGATGCCAACTTGCTGACGAAGTGAGTAACACTAGTAAGATCGCAGATCGGGGAGCTTGTGTGTTAGTATGAATGGCACACGTACTACTTACTGAGGCGACAGGAGCAGTTAGAGAGTGGACGGCGGACCTGGCACTATGAATTAGGACAGATGTCACCAAGTCTGAATAGTGTCCCACTCCAAAAGCAAATTTGCCCACCCCCGCGAAATGCGATAGACTGCTGTGTGAGTTGCTATCGGCCTTCTATATTAAGGGAAACGTTACACTCCTTAGTATTCGGTCGACGGAAGATGTCGGATGCATGTACGCTGTCTGTCTCCGTAGCATAAATTGATCCTTTTCTTCATCTAAAAAAGATTAAAAGGTTGGACTGTCTCGGGATTTATGCTTAGCAAAGGTTTCACCAAGCACGACGAGCTCACATGAATGATGTCAAGGGTATTTAACATAACGCATGTTCAAATATAACCCAGGTTAGTGATTTGGATGTAACCAGAGATACGATTAACTGAATCGGCACTAACTACGTGGGAAGGCCCTGCTTCATGTTGCGAACCTGCTGGACAGTCAGTTATCAGGGGTGCACCTCGAGTTGATGGCCCCTGGACCGTGAGGTGGCCTGCACGCCTGGCGAGGGAAAATCGATCGCGCTCGATGGATGACGCAGCTGGCAGATTTCGCTAGATGGCCGAAAGCTGAATGCGAGTAGATGCGCCCCTAGATGACCTTGGCGGCAGGTAGTCAGTGGCGTGATGCGCAATCGTTGCGTGTGTACGTCACTGGACAATGGCAGTGTCCCTAAAACCGATCGCGCATTAGATGCGCTGGAAAAAACGCGCGGGCTAGATCGGGGGTCGTCTGGCTTTAATTGGAGACGTGCACTCAGGAAATGTCAACATTTTGTCCGACTTTCAGACATACGTAGACTTTGTCTTTGCTAGATATCCACATTTCCATCAAAAATGTCACTTGGCGAGGTCAAAAATGCCAGAGACGGTTATGAAAACAAAAGGCTGTATTTTTACTGAAAACACGGTTAGATCGCCGTCAGTCACAGTTTGGACATATCTACTAGACAGGTCATGAGACGAAGTGCGAATATTTGCAGGAGTGCAGAGGTTAGTAATAAGAATATGCGTGTGATATCAGGAGAATTTCAGAGTATGCATATTTCACCCTCTGTTTCTTCACAACTTCAATTTGTTGCTGTCTTTGTTCGAAAATGAACTTGAAACTTCAAGTGAACATTACTTTCGTTTTATTGATCGAGTGATTTTCCTCACAGCAAAATAACACTGTTAAGGCCTGTCCCGACGCGTTTGCTATTTTCCGTCTTCAATTTACCCAACCGTGTCTCCATCTGGCTGGTTTGTGTCCGTCACTGGCGGCCACTCAACTGGGAAATTTGTCCATCAACGTCTTTTTGTCCGGCGATGATGACATTACCCTCTTTCTGTCAACTACACGCCTTTTTTATTTTATCTTTCCTATCTTCTTTTATCTTTCCACTTTATCTTTCTTCCGCGCAAATTTACGAAACTTTTTTTTATCCCACCTTACCCCCACGGAAGAGAGCATTTTCGTGGTTGGAGGAGACACTGCGCAAGGATGCTACTCCACGAGTGTCGAGGAGTTTCTGGTGGCAGAACGGCGCTGGCGCAAACGGGCGTCCCTCGCCGTTGGACGCCGCAAGCACGCTGCCGCAGTCCTGACGGAAGCCGGAGGGGAGGCGCTTATCGGCGTTTTCGGTGGATGGGGTAACGATGGATGCCTTTCCTCTTGTGAAGTCTATGAAGTCAGTCGGGACAGGTGAGAGCACACTCGTCCTGGCGCCTCATTTTTTTCTTGCAAAATCTCCCTGTTTTGCCTTCTCACTCGTCGCCTCCTCCTCCTCCTCCTCCCCAACACACACAGGTGGTTCAAACTGCCTGATCTGCGAGAGAAGAGGGGCGCCACGGCGGCTGCCTGCCTGCCCGGCGACAGTAGAGTCTTCGTTTTTGGCGGCTATAATGGCCCCTCCTCCTGCCTGGCTTCTGTGGAGTTCTGCCACCTGCGAGCAGACTGGCGAGAGAGGGCGACCTCGTCGGACTTTTGGCAGCCAGCCGCACCCATGAGAACTGCACGCGACGGGCTGGCAGCGACACACTTTCGGGGGAAAATCATTGTCGGCGGGGGATTTGGTGTTGGTGGAAAGAGTCTAAACGTGGTGGAGATGTTCACACCACCAGACGCCAGGTGTCCCCAGGGCCAGTGGACAGACTTGGCCGGCATGAAGGAACCCCGCAATTATTTCGCTCTTCTCACCTCCACCGACGACGTCATCTTTGCTCTCGCTAATGATGCCTCCTCCTTCTTTGCCCTACACTGACAGCATTCCTTCTCCACTTTCTCCTCTTTTTCATGCCATTCCATGTCCTTTTCTATGTAATCCCTTTTTATGAGGAAGATTAAGACATCCCATGCATGGCGTTTCGTAAACACAACGAGGTTAGGGCCGATGGTAGTCCGTTTGTAGTGCAAATCGTTTGCTTATTAAAGTAGATTTTTACGAGAATTATGCAGCCGAATGGTTAAAGCGTCTTCAGCAGATACTGCGTTCAAAGCTTACTTTGTCTACTCTGCGTTTTATTAAAATAATTTTTTGTCTAGCGGTATTGTGCAAATCGTATGCTAATGTTGTCTGTTTTGATATTTATGAAGATAGAATTTCACTGGAATTATTCACAATTTGCAGGCTGTTGCTTGGGATCAGGAAACACGGTGGAGGCTTTCACAGCACCAGGCGGGCCAGCTGATGTCAGCAACGACTTGACAGCTTGGAGCTGGTCGTCGAAGAAACCACTGGAGACGCTCGCAAACATCGCTGGAGCTGCGAGCATTCGCATGTAAACTTCTGCGTTTCTTGATGTTCCTTCTATGACCCGCATGTTAAGAAATAAACTAATTGCAATGTAAGCTGTTTTGTCGTTGTTTTTGAAAGCGTCCAATGGGTGTGGCGTGCCCAACACCTAAGGCAACCGATTAATGGCGTGATTATCTCCGAAAGGAATGAAATGCATGAACCAGTTAATTTTTTACGAGGGAGAAGCTCGTTTTCGGGATTAATGCATGGCTTTGGGGAGAAATCATTGTCGCCAGCGGATATAATACTGGAGACGAATGAGATTTAGTGGTGGAGATGTTCTCACTGCCAGGTGTCCGTAGCGGGTTTAATAAACATGGCCTCCAATTTTTTTGTTAAAAAAAACACCAAAAGGGTGTAAAGTGTCCAACACTTGGGGTGAAAAATAATCTCTAGCATATCTCTGCGAGGAATGAGAGATGTGGTCGAGGTTAGTTTAGCAAAGAGATGCCCACTTGCTGACGAAGTGAGTAACACTAGTAAGATCGCAGATCGGGGAGCTTGTGTGTTAGTATGAATGGCACGCGTACTACTTACTGAGGCTACAGGAACAGTTAGAGCGTGGATGGCAGACCTGGCACTATGAATTAGGACAGATGTCACCAAGTCTGAATAGTGTCCCACTCCAAAAGCAAATTTGCCCACCCCCGCGAAATGCGATAGACTGCTGTGTGAGTTGCTATCGGCCTTCTATATTAAGGGAAACGTTACACTCCTTAGTATTCGGTCGACGGAAGATGTCGGATGCATGTACGCTGTCTGTCTCCGTAGCATAAATTGATCCTTTTCTTCATCTAAAAAAGATTAAAGGTTGGACTGTCTCGGGATTTATGCTTAGCAAAGATTTCACCGAGCACGACGAGCTCACATGAATGATGTCAAGGGTATTTAAGAAAACGCATGTTCAAACCTAACCCTGGTTAGTGATTTGGTTGCAACCAGAGATACGATTAACTGAATCGGCACTGTCTACGTGGCAAGGCCCTGCTTCTTGTTGCGTATGAGGTGGACAGTCAGTTATCAGGGGTGCACCTCGAGTTGATGGCCCCTGGACCGTGAGGCGGCCTGCGAGCCTGCCGAGAGAAAATCGATCGTGCTCGATGGATGACGCAGCTGGCAGATTTCGCTAGATGGCCGAAAGCTGAATGCGAGAAGAAGCGCTCCTAGATGACCTTGGCAGCAGGTAGTCAGTGGCGTGTGCGCAATTGTTGAGTGCGTACGTGCCTGAACAATGACAGTGTCCCTGAGATCGGTCAGCCATTAGATGCGCTGGACCAACACGCGGGCTAGATCGGGTTTGTTTGGCGTAAATTGGGAACGTCAACTCAGGAAATGACAACATTTGTCTGACTTTCAGACATACGTAGACTTTTTCCTCGCTAGATATCCACATTTCCCTTAAAAATGTCAGTTGCCGATGTCAGAAATGCCAGAGACGGTTATGAAAACAAAAGGCTGTGTTTTTACTGAAAACACGGTTATATCGCCGTCAGTTACAATTTGGACATATCTACTAGACAGGTCATGAGACGAAGTGCGAATATTTGCAGGAGTGCAGAGGTTAGTAATAAGAATATGCGTGTGATATCAGGGGAATTTCAGTCTATGCATATTTCACCCTCTCTTTCTTCACAACTTCAATTTGTTGCTGTCTTTGTTCGAAAAGGAACTTGAAACTTCAAGTGAACATTGCTTTCGTTTTAGTGATCGAGTGATTTTCCTCACAGCAAAATAACGCTGTTAAGGAAGCGCACGAAAGTGAAATGGGTTCGGTCTCCGAAGTTGCTCCTAAGAGAAACCGCAGTGTTCTTCATACTGACTTGATTCCCTACGGCAAAGAAGGCATAGTTAATCAGTCATTGTGAATATCTGTATTTTGCAGTCAGCAGACTTTTTACATTGAAAGTGAAACAAATGCCGTGGGATTGTGATTAACATCGAAACAGCCAGTCCCAATTTAAATTAGTGCGGATTCGATTCACTGAAAGATCACATGCAATGCGAATCTCTAAGCTACGTAATGGTTTCATTTTTTCAACTGTCCGTGTTGATGTATTCGCATAAACTAGATATGCATAATCCAGGACAGTAAACCAAGTGGGATTTTAGAATTAATTCGACGCGCTCCGTAAGGAGTGGATTTACCTACGTTAAAATTCGTCGTAGCGGAATGTACATTAAGTAAACAAACTGTTTTTATTAACATCCTACACTGTTTTAATATAGACACAGTCTGAGCGTCTGTCTGGCATTAATTGCAAAGGAGCAATCAGCAAACTTCAACATTATGTCGACTTCAGCCTGCCAGGAAAACCGCATTTCTAACAAAAATTCCCGTTTCCAAAGTCATAGAATCGTCAAAGTCAGTTTTTAGAACCAAGGATTATGTTAGTATTCAAAAAACGGCTAAATCGTGAACAGTCACAATTTAAACATATGTACTCGGGAAATCGTCAAACTAATTAAGAAAAGCTGAAGTGAATGCGGTCGTTATCATTATTAACATGCGCATGATAGTATGGGAATTGCAGCTTATAAATATTTCAATCGCTGTACGTCCACAAATTCAATATGTTGCTGTCCTTGATCCAAAAGGTATCGGGAAACTCAAGTGAACATTATTCTCGCTCCAGCGATCGAGTGATTCTCCTCACACCAAAATGACACTGCTAAGAATGCTTTACTTCTGAAAAATAATTGGTTTCATTCTCCGAAGTTGCTACTAAGCCTAACTGGTGGTATTCGAACCCCCAACAGCAAAGAGAGGCTTTAGTACGGCCAACGCTCTAGTCACCTAAGATACGAGGCCCAACCGGACGACGCGAGTTTAATCATATCTTAATCAATTTTACTCGTTCGATCTACTGCAAAGTCTGGTATCCACCAAATCTGATAAAGTAAGCTGACATTCTAAGCAGGATTTTCTAATTTATACATATAGAATCCACCAGATAGCTAAGGGTTTCACGAAATTCATAGCTATTATGGCAGATACGCTTAATGTAACGTCGTCCGGTGGAGCCTTTTAGGTCAGTGGGCTAGAGCGTTGGCTGTACTAAGGCTACATAAAGCTAAAGCGGGTTCATGCACCACAGAGGCGCCGAGTATTTCATATGCGTATCAAAATAACTCGTTTGTGTACTTGCGTATAATAAGGCAATATCGACAACAGTCGGTCAAGTTGCAATAGGCTAGCCTTGCCAGTCAAAATAAGGAGATATGCATTACTTGACATAGTAAAACGCTTGCTGTCGTGGGTTTTAGTCACACCGTGGCACCGAGGTTTGACAATTCAATCAACGTGGATGCGTGAGACTTTAGTAAATATATTCTGTAAACTGAAGGGGCTCTCGGTTCTGACGGATAGGCAATTTGAGAATATGCAGTGGTTGCACCTTCAGTTGTGGCAGATCACTGATATGTCAGATAAATTCTCCGCGAGCTGGTTGCAAACCTGTATATATGAATTTCCTCTTACGAATGTTGCACTCATTGCATTAGGGCTCCTGTCCTCATTATTCGCAAACCAAGTGACAGACGCGAGCAGATCACGCCACTCTGGGTGCAACGATTTGTACTTAAATCTGCTGATCCGATGCGGAGGGAGGGAGGGAGCTGGCTGGGTGGGGTTTCGTATGTGCAGATAGCAGGCGCGCTCGTGTTGCGTGCTATCAGGGTGGGACATCGATTCCCGTAAAAAAAAGAGGATGACGCACTCTCTACTCGATCTTCTCTTCAGTCTCACAGCGACTGCCGCCCTGAATTACGCTAGCCCTCCGCCTTAGCTAAATTTAGCCAGAGGTGATCCAGATGGTTGCGTGGAATCGCTGGCTTTCAACTGCTGTTTGTTACAGTAAGTCTGCTGTAGAGCGTGCTGTCGATCAGAGTTAGGCAAACACCGGGCAAAACGCACTGCACGAACTGCACAAACTTCTATGAAGTATAGGACTCTGGTTTAAACTTAAAATCATAAAGGCTCCTGCCTCCGACGAAATCGCCGACATTCTGGCAGGGTGAGTCCGCTCACTCTGGCAGCCTTGAATGTTCGTTCACTTTTAGACAATCCGATGAGCAACCGACCGGAACGGAGGACGGCGCTAGTTGCACGGGAACTGGCGCGCTACAAGGTGGACATCGCTGCACTCAGCAACACCCGATTCTCCGAACAAGGCCAGCTGGAGGTGGCGAGGGCCGGCTACACCTTCTTCTCGAGTGGTCGGCCCAGGGCAGATCGACGAGACGCGGGTGTCGCCTTCGCCATCCGGAACGACATCGTGGGACGACTACCCTGTTTGCCGCAGGGAATCAACGATCGCCTGATGAGCCTCCGTCTGCCTCTCCGGCAGGCGTGGGGGCAAATTCGCCACCATCATCAGCGCCTACGCTCCGCCGATGAGCTGCCCCGACGCCGCCGTTAGGGACAAATTCTACGAGGACCTGCACGCCCTCTTGGCGACTGTGTCGAAGACGGACAAGCTGATTGTCTTTGGCGACTTCAACGCCCGCGTCGGCACAGACCATACTGCCTGGAGAGGAGTGCTGGGTCCCCACGGTCTCCGCGGCTCCAACGACAATGGCTCGCTACTGCTCCGCACCTGCGCAGAACACTGCCTCATCCTGACGAAGACCTTTTTCGGTCTGTCGGAGCGAGAGAAGGCCACCTGGAGGCATCCTTGGTCACGTCAGTGGCAGCTGCTGGACTACGTCCTCGTCCGGAGGCGAGATGGCGATCGCGGGTGCTGACGGGTGGACCGACAATCGCCTCGTCATCTCGAAAATGCGTATTCGTTTAGAGCCTCGCAGGAGACCACAAGGTAAGCGACCCCCAGGTAAGCTGAATATTACCTTGATGTCTTTCCCCGCTCACAATCTTCATTTCAGCAATGAGCAAGCTCAACGGCTAGACAAAATTCCCATCGCCGATGCAGCCGACGACGAGGCCACCATTGCAGAGAACGCCTCCATGGAGAACCGCTCGTGTCAACTACGAAACACGGTCCAGGCGACGACGCTCGCCGTCCTCGGTCTCGCGCTCCGTCAACGCCAGGACTGGTTCGACGACAACGACGCCGCCATCAGAAATCTGCTTGCTGAGAAAAACCGCCTACAAAAAGCCTACGTATGCCACCCCACTGATGACAACAAAGCTGCTTTCTCCCGCAGACGTCGCCAGCTTCAGCAACGACGGCGCGAGATGCAGGACGCCTGAACTGCTCGCAAATCTGATGAGATTCAAGGCTACGGGGACCGCAACGAATGGAAGAACTTCTTCTCTGCGATCAAAGCTGTCTACAGTCCGCCGACGATGGGCACTGCTCCTCTCCTCAGCGCCGACGGCAGCACTCTCCTGACTGAATAGACGCCAATCCTACAGCGATGGGCGAGCATATCCGAGGCATCCTCAACCGCCCCTCCGTCATCTCCGACGCCGCCATCGAGCGTTTGCCGCAAGTGAAGACCAACATCGTCCTCGACCTCCCGCCATCTCTCCAGGAAACCATCAGGGCCGTGCAGCAGCTCTCCAGCGGGAAAGCACCCGGATCGGATGCAATCCCTGCTGAGGTCTACAAGCACGGAGGTCCCCAACTCATGGACCACCTGACTGCGATCTTCCAGGAGCTGTGGCGTAAAGATGAAGTCCCGCAAGATTTCAAGGAAGCAACCATCGTGCATCTCTACAATCAAAAAGGAAATCACCAAGTCTGTGACAATCACGCCGCATCTTCATGCTGAAAATTGCCGGGAAGATCTTCGCTCCCATCCTCCTCAATCGTCTGAATAATCATCTGGAACAGGGGCTTCTACCGGAAAGCCAATGCGGCTTCCGTTGACATCGCGTGACAACAGACATGATCTTCGCCGCTCGTCATCTTTAGGAGAAGAGCCAGGAGATGCGGACCCACCTGTACTCTACCTTCGTGGACCTGACAAAAGCCTTCGACACGGTGAATCGTGAAGGACTGTGGAAGATCATGCAGAAATAAGGCTGTCCGTAGCGATCCATTGAGATGGTGCGTCAGCTGCACGACGGTATGATGGCGCGAGTCACGGACAACGGAGCTGTCTCAGAGACATTCGTAGTAGCCAACGGTGTGAAGAAGTAATGCTTGCCGGCACCTACCCTCTTCAGTCTTATGTTCTCTGCCATGCTGATGGACCCTGATCGTGTTGAGCACCCCGGGATCCGCATTGCCTACAGGACGGACAGTCACCTCCTGAATCAACGGCGGATGCACTTCCAATCGCGCGTATCCACAACCACCGTTCACGAACTTCTCATCGCCTACGACTACGCCCTGAACACCACATCGGAAGTGGAGATGCCACGGAGCATGGACCTGTTCTCTGCCGCCTGCGAGAACTTTGGGCTGGTCATTAACACGCAGAAGACGGTGGTGATGCATCAACCGGCACCCAATTCAGCCACAGCCCACAACGCGTCGCCGCAAATCAGCGCGAATGGAACCCAATTGCAAGTGGTGGAGAACTTCCCGTACTTGGACAGCACCCTTTCCCGCAACACCATGATAGATGACGAAGTCGCCAACAGGATCTCGAAAGCCAGTCAAGCCTTCGGTCACCTCAAAAGCACAGTTTGGAATCGTCATGGCCTCCATCTGAGTACGAGGCTAAAGATGTACAAGGCCGTCATCCTGCCGACGCTTCTGTATGGAGCGGAGACCTGGACGGTGTACACGAGGCAGGCACGCCTACTGAACCACTTCCACCTCAGTAGTCTCCGTCGCATCCTGTGGCTGCACTGGCAGGATCGAATCTCCGACACAGATATGCTGGATCGATCGGAAATGCTCAGCATTTACTCCATGCTGAGACAAATGCGGCTGCGCTGGAGCGGCCATCTGGTGCGCATGGACGACGAGCGACTACCCAAACGACTCTTCTACGCAGACGTTGCGATGGGTTCTCGCCGCCAAGGTGGTCAAATTCTTCGATACAACGACACTCTGAAGTCCACCCTGAAGCGCCTGCAAATCAACCCGACCAACTGGGAAGAGCTCACCCTCTACCGACCGACATGGAGGAGGACACTAAAGACAGCCGCTGCGATCTATGAGGCCAACCGAATCGCCGCTGCCAAAGTGAAACGAGAGCACGCAAATCACAGCCACCCCACGTCCGCAACGCCGACGCACAACCGCTTCCAACGTGTCCCCGGTGTCAACGGACATTCCGGGCAGAAATTTAACTCATTGTACACCTAGGAATCAACTGCGAATCTCGGACCGCACCAACCACCGTCCCTCCGCCCGCCTTTTCCTCGTCCTCTCCGCCGCCAACC